TCATAGTCCCATCCATTTATGCATTTTGTTGTGGTGTTGATCCCATACTTTTCAATGTCTTCTACAGTCCAATTCACAGGTGTGAACATTTCACAGCTTTCAAACCTTCCATCCTCGTTCACTGGGATGGTGAGATTCCTTTGATTCTCCTGTGTCAGGTTGGGTCCAGGCTCCAGGATCCAGTCGGTGTTGCAGTGATGTGGGAAGCTCAGGCTGGCAAACACCTGACTGATCACATCAAAAGCTGGATAAATGTTGAGGATGCATAATGCAAAAAGTAAACGCTTCTGAAACAAACCAAACTCCCCAATTTCCTTCAGGATCTGTCCAAAGTTGCTCATAGTGATGTGTGACTCGACTTGCAGAGATTCCGAATGACAACGCAGCATGAGGTAAAGTACAGATGACTACAAACTATAAGGTTAATAAATGTTTAACCAAGCACAGTTACATCGTTTATGATTTATGCCTTCATGTTATGTTAAGGACAACAGTTGTCATTAATGTTGCAACAACACTAAAACTGAGATGGTAAAAACAATAAAATGAAAACTGACAAAGAAAATGGCAACAACATTATGAAAGAAGTCCTTTTGTAGAATCAGTGTGCTGATATGGGACACTTGCGTCAATTTTAACAAGGAGCATCTGTAATATTAAGATTAACAACTGAGCTTTAATATACTGCATGCAGATAACGTAAAAATGGTTTAATGTGAATTATACTCACATTTTGAAGTGGCAGTCTTGGCAACATTGGTTTGCCACAAGTGCTCACTTTTTTTTGCAACACAGACAATAAAGAAAACACAGATCATAATGTAAAACATTAGTTCATGTCAAACTAAGCTCCTAATGTGAACTAACTGTAGTGTGAACAGGAACATTGAACACTTCTCTGACCGTTTGCTGTAGGCATTGTTTGAACTATTAGCAACTCAGCAATCAGGGTAAGAGTTAAGTACTGATGTAAAAGAATGCTCAGACTTTTTCTTGTGCCACAAATATTGTTTTTTGTTGTTGTTATTGTTTTTTACATATATGTATATGTTTTTCCAGAAAATGAAATACAAAGTAGCATTGCATTAACATTTGAAGAAATGCTAACTTTAACATGCTGCAGAGGCTTTTCATCTTTTCATATCCACTTTTGTTAAGCTAATCATGCTGTAATGTAACAAAAGTAACTAAGGTAGTTAAAAACAAATACAACAATCAACAATAGTAATGAGCAGAGCAACTACAGTACAATACAGGATGCAAAGCAACGTTTGATTTCTGGCTATATAACGGCTGAATTTCACAACAAGAACATTTCAATGGAGAAACATTAGTGCTCTCATGAAAAAGCTGCTAAATGCACCATTATAGTTACCATTTAGCTGCTATTTTTTATTGTGGAAAAGAAGATTGACAAAGGAACTGTTTGTAGTTAGTTAGATTGAGCTACGACAGGTCAGAATACCTGCTTATTCTCATTTTCCACAACCATCTACAGCTGACTCATGGCAACTGAAATATATGCAGAACGCTCATATTATTAATTAAGATGACAGGAGAAAACAGGTTTATCATGAATATACAGTACATATACAGTCATGCACAAAAGTTCACAGACCGTGTATATCGTGGCAGTCTTAAGGTTTCAATTCTTCATTTTCTGTGAAGAAATCATTGAAACAAATGTATCTTTGCCACAAAAAACAAT